GTGACTCATACGCACTTTCACAGAAAAGCAGCAGCCTGCACGCTGTGCGCGTCCTCACCTGTCTTAGTGTTTCCTCCTTTGTAGGAGATCTTGTTGATGGCGTCCAGCAGACCCTCCTTGTCACTGTAGGAGTTCAGCTTAAACTCTGTCCGGGCATCGTCACTGAACTGGGCAATAGCCACCTGTCACAAAACACATGAGCGTAGCTAATAAACAAAAGAGGAAGTAGGCCACTGTTAGGTGAAGGGGACGAGGGTTAGGAGGAGACTACGAGAAGAAGCATCGTCACAGAAAAGCTCATCTCACTGAATCCTTTTAGACTCATCATTTAGAAAGTGAACATGTTTGTGTTACTTTAATACAACCGTGATTCTATTTGAAACATTCAGCATCACAACACGTGATCAGCATCATAGACGGGCTGGTACAGAGCGACTGTAACGACCACAAAGAGCAGAGAAGGATAATGATGATGAGACAGAGGAGGGTTATACCGCTGCAACGAGAGCCTCGATGCTCCTGTCAAAATGATTCCTAATGAATCAGTTTATCACTGAACAGGTCTTTAAGAATTATTATATTTAAAAACGATGAAAAATGGAGGATAGATTTCTGTTTTCAATAATAAAGTATAAGATAATACGGGTGGATGATAAACCTGCAGTGGGCAAACAGTCAGGCTGTGTTAGATGGAATCATTGAAAGCAGTGAGGTACATTAACCCCACAGTTTATATTTTTAAGCAATTATTTTTTGTTTGTTTGAACTTCAGATCAAAACGTTTGTGTTCCTCCATCTGTTCCTGGCTTGAACGCAGCACTTGTGGCCTGCTGTGGGTGGCTGTGTGCTGCTGCCTTAGCTACTTCCCTTCTTGCTGTGGAATCAGTGGGTTGGGTGGAGCACTCAGCACTTGGCCAGTACCAGTGGATCAGTCTGGTTGAGCTGTGTGTTTGAGCTGCTGCTGCCTGTTTCACCCTCTTTAGGGCAGATTTGATTCTTTCACTTACTTTGATCGATATCCAGGTTGTTGTTCAGAAAGAGCCACAGCTCTCTTAGTTTAGACTGCTTCATAAAATCATGCTGATGTTCATATTTACCTTCTGTTTGGTTGTTTTCTTCCACCTGGAACACTTTGTTTACTTTGTCACATATACGCTTGTTCTACAGTATATCACAGCATTTAAAGACAGTATGTACGATGTTCTCTAAAGCTCAGACAAACTGAGCCGATACTTGATGGCGCTGTGACACGTGAGCAGCTGTAACACAGCGTGGGAATGAGCTGTTTCATGAGTGAAGTGGGCTGTGGCCACCTGGGAGACCACTCAGGAACAGTCTTTATTTGTAAATAACAAAAAATCGAAATGAGAGCAGCTTAGAGGAAACTTGGCGCTGATTGGCTACAGCGAGAGTCTGAACACAGGAGTGAA